TTGTGGTATGAAACTATATTCAATCAGGTACATAAACACTGTAGGGTCGCTTTCTATATTCCAGACAGTAGTCCTAGTAACCAGTAAACTAACTTCCGTTGTCGACTCGAAATTACTACTAAGCCATTAAGATCTTCGGCCCTTATGATTGCCTCGTGCCAAACAACTATCTTCCGTTGTTTGAAACCTTGGGATGTTACCCCCTCGTCATTCTAGACATTCTAAGTGATGTTTACCCTTCTGCGATTCCCCCCACATGCAAGCACAATTAGTTTGAATGGATTATTCAACCTAAAAGGATAATTGAAACTATACAATTAAACATACAAATATCATCCGAGAGCATGAATAAAAAAATAATTATATAGAGTAGAGGGATTAGACCTTAGCAATGAGTTTAGCTACTCATGGATTGGAGCTCAAACACCACAAAGTTCAGGTGTTGAGACTCCATCCAGATTACAACAGAAAGGGAAGAAAACAGGGGAAGAGTAAAGTCAGGGAGTGTGTTAAAGTGCAGCTGACTTCCCAGAGTCATCTTCTCACTTCCTCAAGAGACACCCCTGAGTCTATATTCCAGAGTTATACTTTGTTTCTTCCTAAGTGAACTATACTACACTACAGTCCTACTTTTAAGTGTTTCTAGACTTCGATGCCTTCATCTTCATGCTGCTACTGCCTTTCATAGAGGTTGGGGGAGAGTTCTTGCTTAGCCATGTTGGTATCCTCTTTACTCGATGGGTTTTATGCAAAAGAGAAGAGACCCATACTTCTCCCAACTTCCCCCTTACCTCTAATCATCATTTCGAGAGATTTCTTTGAATAATTCCAGCTTTAAGGCACATCAATCTTCTCCAATGTCAGCAGCATCACTTCACCAACGGCTCTTCTTCCTTAGCTTCGAAGGATTGCTCCAATTTCATCCTTCTTCCCGCCGGATTCAGCCCATCTCAACCCTTGCAAGATCAGCCCTTGCAGCTACTTCCAATTTGGCCCAAAACTTCACCAATTTGCCACATTATGCCACCTTTTATGTTCATATTGCCATTCAGCCCCTGGATTTCCATAAGTCACCGAATTAGCCTATAAACATATAATCCTAACCTAACTGACCTATAATTAAATTACAAAGAGGTAAAATTGATACCTAAAAACATAGTACGAAATGCACTCATCACCTTCATCAATAGCAACAATCAAATTATCCACCCATCCTATCGCATCTAAAGTCCGAAAGACATGATCAACATTCAATCCCACACTATGTTGAGTGTAACGCATTGTAGCTCCTTGTTCCCTCAAGGACTCCAAACCCCTCTTCATAATAGCCTTATTATGATGCCCTTCTAATCTTACGGCCGTCCAAAAAGCATTATACAAATCAACTTCATGCATGATAGAAGTCTCATTCTTGTACCGAGCATTCAAGCCATTAAGAAACCTAGCAGTCAAAACCTCATTCAACTCATGGTTGTCACTATTAACACATAGCAGCTGAAACTTCTTATTGTAAGTTTCAACATCATCTAGTGTTGAGTAAGGCCATACAATTCACTTTGGTAGTCATATGTCATTTCACTACTCCAAAATCTATTGTATAAAGCATCCCTAAAATCTTGCCAAGTATGCACTCCACCATTCAAATTACACATACAAAGCACACACAAAGTTATATCAATATTCCTTAAACCACAAATAGCAATTCCAATTTTACTTTAGTTACCCCTAACAATTCAAACAAATTTTCCAATGATACAATCCATGACTCTACCCCCTCGCAAATCCCTCCATCGAAAGTAGGAATTTCAAGAGTCAACTTACAAACACAAGTAGACCCCTTCAAAGCATTCACTTGAGAATTCGATTTCATTAGGCGATGAATCAAATCTTCTTTCAAAGACTCAACCCTGTTGAAGATGTCCTCCTTCATACCTTCATGTTCTCGGTTAAGATCATAAAGCTCTTGACCCACACGAAGCACTTGGTTATTGAAGTACATCAATTGGTTGTTGAAATACTCATCGTGATTTCTAGCTCTATTTTCAACAATCTATTGCACCAATTCTTCCAATTCTCGCACCTTATCTTCAACTCCACGGCATTAACAACACATCTTTGATCTAGCAACTTCTTCACTCATGGTTATGAGCAAATAATTACCTATACTAAGAAAACCTCTCCTAAATTTCTTCATGTAAATCAGAGAACCCTCCCCCTTCGAATCAAAGGAAGATTCGGCAATTGACACTCCCCAAACTAACTAAAAAAACCCCTCTCTCACCTTTTAAGAGGTGACACTCTCGAAAAGAATAGAAGAAAAAGAGAGGACGTAGTTAACTCCTTCACCCTTAAAACCTTCAATGTTTTGGCTCAAGGATTAAAAAGATATTTTGGAGGTTGGGATGTATGAAAAACTCGGCCAAAGCACCCCCTATATAGGCATGAGATGGCTTTTCCTACAAGGACTTTCCAATTCAAAATAGGTCACATAAAAGTAATTTTCCTATTTCATTTCATCAAACTTTCCTATTTTATAAAACCCTAATAAATTCCCGAATTGAAATCCGAAAATAAACACACATTTCGGCAAAAAATATTTTAAACACAGCAAGTTTATTTACAAAAATTATTTAATTTTGAAAACAAAAAACTAAATTTTAGAAAACTTTCCTAACACATAAAAAAGCCTAATTTCCTACATTGATTTAGCCGAAAGACCCCACAAAAAAACAAGTAATTTACCAAATAACTTTAAGAAACTCCTTAACTCCCCTCCTATTATTAGGTAACAATAAACAAATAAAACCTCTTTCATCTTTAGTAATTTGCTAAAAAGAAAATCAACACACACAAACCAAAATTTCTTTTCCCACTTGTAATAGGAATCAAATAATTTGGTCATCACACAATGTTCAAATTTTTGAAAATGTTCAATCAAAACAAAGTCTAAAACCTTTAGTCAACTACTAAAAACCTTCTTCCAATATTGTATTTGAACTCGAAAAACATCAATCATGCATAGAAGCACATATTTTTCATCTATCAAGTTCAAAGAACTCAACAAACGAAAGACCACATAATATGCATTGGATCAAAAACCCTAAGACCTAATTTTTGAAAATCATTTTGTTTAAAGACACTTAAAACAAACAAAATACAAATTAGATACTTTTAACACAAGCAATTCCCTAAGTCCGTTATGGAAACTCTTATACTTGTAAACCCTAGAGTATTAAACCCTAAAACTCATATCTCATTCATATGACTCAACAAATAAGAAAAATCACATAAGCTACATAAAAGATAAACTCTTGGAAAACCAAATTCCAAACTAATGAAAAATCTAATCTTCACAAGAAATATCCCGTTATTCTTGATAAAGACTTCCAACAATTTAACATTAACCCCAAAGTTCAACGTACACATTGATCTCTTTAAGTTATCTTGCAAATACACTGAATTTAAAGCTTTTAGAAAACTTCAAATCAAACCGCACAATAATTGACGAACAACTCGACAGAGAAGCCGACGAGAACACACAAGCCGACGGACACCCCGACAAGGAAGCCGACGAGATCACATAGCACATTAAGTCGACATACACCTAAAGCAGACACAAGACTCGACAAAGAAACACCTAATAGTGATTATGGACATTTCATTGATTGAAAAAACACAAACCCTAGATTTTACTCTTCTCCAATTCAAAAGAACTAAAGTCAAAAAGGAAAGATCAACACTTCCATATACTACTAAACATACTTCCATGAAAATTCTACCCAAAACCTAGATTATAAGTTTAAAGAAGCTAGACCTACACAAACGCACACATTGCTCATGTATACACACATCTCTCTCAAAAGGGTAAGGCTACACGCTTTAGCTTTTTGCAGCAAACCCTTAATCAAAAAACATAGTACACACAAGTTCCTAATTACTTCATCATGAAGAAACCAATCTCCAATATCAAATGCATAGGAAATCTGAAGTGAAGCACTCCTCGAATCAATTATTTGCACAACTTCATCAAGACTCAGTAATTCCTCGAAACCAAATACACAAAAATTCATCTTAAAGCAATACCTAGTTTTCACACTAAATATTCAATAAAGAAGAACTTAAGAAATTATATTTTAATTCTAGGTTTGATTTAGTTTTCTCAAAACTCTTTTGAAAACAAAAGAACCTTGGTCCAAATAAAAGATAGTCCTACCAATCACTACAAAAAAATAGGTCAGTACGCACGGAAGGAAGTCGTGGGTAAATGAATTATGCGGCCGTGGGTAACTCACTTACCAACGGTTTTCCCCACGAAATAATTCTCATGGGAGAATAGACTGTGGGTAATGGCTTTTCCACGGTCGGTCAACACTTCGTGGGTAGTTCTCCCACAAAGCATGTGTTTCTTGGGTAATTTCGCCATCACGGTTTTCGTGGGTGAAGGCGTGGGAGTGCGATGTTTAGACTTGGTATTTTGGGACGTTCACTCACAAAATTTTCGTGGGTAATATCGTTGGAGAATGATTTTCATATTTGGCATTTTTGTTAGTTCACCCATGAATTAGTCGTAGGTAATGCAGTGGGGAAAATAAAAAAAAAATTGTTGTAAATATTTATTCCCACGACTTTCTCCGTCGGTATATTACTGATTCGATGACCTGGTCAATGGCTTTTCCCACAAAATTTCGTGGGTGATTTACCCACGAGATTTTTTCTGTGGGTAATATCGGCTATTTTTTGAAAATAGTAATTCTGAAAATGATTTTTTTTTTTGGATTTATGTTTGGGCATTCCCTTGGATTTTCAGCACCAAACAATGCTAAAAATGAAACAATATTAAACATGACACAACTCTAAAACTGAAATTGCATAAATATTCAAAGTGATCATCTTACATAATCTCCAAATTCTACCACAGTCAAATTTTGTCTTTAATAGATTCATTGTACTACAACCAAAGTAATACGCTTAACAGCTATGTAGATCATAAACGGAAACCCTTAATCAAGATTCTGGTCATCATCATTTATCGAACTATAATTAGAATGAGAAGCATTTGAACTTGGACCATTTTCCACACCTTTTGACCCTTGTAAAGACTCATCATCATCAGCATCAAAATTAGGCATTTGAAGACCATTCTGCTTGCAAAAAAGCTCCATGCCACTCCTCCACTTGTCCATTGCACATTCTATCTTATCCATTTTCAAAACAAGAATCAAGCTTCCGAGTTAAAGCTTCAATATTCTGCCTACTTGTGGATACAGTTGTAAGCCTCAAATTTTTACCAATCAAAGGATAATAGCAAGCTGCTTGAGAGCCAAGCCCGTAGATCTTTTTATTCTTCTCACCTCCACAAACTTCAAAATAAAGTTCATCTTCATTACGTCTACAGTTACACCCCTCCTCAACCTGCGCCTCCATTACCTGCTTGCGCAAATCAACATATTTCTCCTAAAATCATGCAATGCACACAAAAGAATCAACAATCAATACTCAAAATTGAATTGGAATAATTCAAAGTTAGGTGGAGATTTTGTTAGTCACAATCATCACCATTTCAGAATATTTAGGATATGATCAAGCAACCCAGTCATACAAAAACTCCAATTACAGGAGCAGAACAAAGCATGGAAGAACAGTCTAAATCTGGACATTATACAGGGAATATACTACTCAGTACCAGTTTAGAAACATACATGAATCTGCCGAGAAGTAGGATCAATAGAAGTCTTCAAATCATGATTCCTCGTATGAGTATATGCAAATACTTCATACGGGGTAGGCTCTCGACCTAAAGTACGTTCTTGCAAACAGTGCCATTTATAAAGAAATAAAATTAGCAATCTATTAACACATTAACTTTGAGCAGAAATAGGTACTCAAGTGAACATATAAACTCATTAGTGTTACGAATAAAAAACTTACAAGTGCAGCAGCATGCTCAATGAATCAGACGGAACCTCTAGTGTGAGAAATTGGTCCCTTGGGGCTGCAACGATTTCTGGAATTCCTTCTTACAACCTTCAGGAAATCCTCAGTTTACCATTGATTTGTCAAGATCAACCACACATCCTCCTGAACAAAATATGGATTTTCATCCCATTCTCTCAAGTCCCATGTAAGGTAACGGTAACATTCTGCTGCTAATGATTTCCATGCCTCCTTGATCTGATATTCCTCTTCAGGATCCCAAGTTAAAGATTTCTACAAAAATATAATACAAGTATTACTATCTATCTACTAACATAAAGAATCCCCTACTGTACAAATCAGCAATGATACGATCTTCATATTTTTCTCATTTAAAGCAATTATTTGGTACAATATTATCAATATAAACTCTAACGTCCATACACAGTTTACTAAAAGTAGCGGTTTACAAAAATTCCCAATTAACACAATCAACAGGCAGCGTAGAATACTTATCTTGAACTCATTGCAATAGAAATCTTTCATTCCTGGGGTCACTTTTGACCAAGAGTATGCTCCGACTTCTAACCTATCTTCGAACAAGCTTCGGATTTTTCATGAACAGATACTCTGCAATCTTAACCTATTTCAATTGCAACAAAAAAATGATCAAGATCTATCATTAGATATAATACTTGAAAAAGAAGATCTGCAAATACTTACGTTTTTCTGACTGCATGTATCTCTATTGCTGTAGATTTTCGCTTCTTAGATTTTTCCTGAGCATGATTCCCTTTCGAACTGCCACCATCATCAGTACTGGGGGACTTATTGTTTCCATCTACGAGCTCAGGTCGGCTTGAAATTGGAGAAGAATGATCTGGATTGTTCCTCAGGTTGGAATTATTGACCTGAGTGTTGTTCAGGCTACGATCAGTGCTACGGTGATGGAGGCTAGGGTGAGGCGGATGCTGGAATAATAAGATAGGGATTAAGGTTATTTATGTAACTTTTTAGAGTTTGAGTAGGGTTTTTCTTTTTCATATTTAAAGTGGCTTGGCCCCTCATTGTAAATGATGGTTGATATTTTGATAAATTGAAAAAGAGAGTTTTTCTCGAAAATTCCAAGGTGTGTTGAGCTTTGGTCCTTAAGACCTAGGTATTCCTAGGCTAAATGGATTCTTGAGATGATTCTAATTCCGGTCATTCTTAGACTAAACGGTATTAGAAGGGTTAGGGTTACTTTTGGATCAAATTAGAGGCTTCCGCTACGTCATACAGTCTGCTGCATTTGATGCATTTTCTTCATCCTGAAATGAAGCAGTTCCCCATGCTGAGCTGGTACTTATCGAACCCTGGTTTGACAGTGACTTAGATGCATTTGTTGCAGATTGATACTATGTACTTGCAGAATGATTGAGGTTGCAATTAGATCCTAAACCCTCATTTCTTGATCCATGCTGCAGAGTGAATTACCTGCATTGGCGTCATTTTCTTTACTATGAATTTGTGAACCCTGAATCTGGCTTGAACTTGCTGCAGGCTGTCCAACTGTCGTAGCCTCAATTGGCTGCAACATGTCTCTCTGCCACCCAAACGGCAACCTGGCTCCAGGACGTCACAAAAGAGTGCCAAACAAACTAGTGTCACCCCTGCTATTCTGACAATTGAAGAGTTGCAACAGCGTTTGTTCCACAAAATGGAGGAAACAACTGCAGTGGTCAAAACCAGTGGCAAAGCAGCGCAATCGGTTGGAGCCGCCATAAGGGAACTGCAAGGGTTGTCAAAAATTAGTGCAGAATAAGTCCATGCGAAGTACCACCAATCACTGAAACAGGCACTGGAAACCATCCTAGGGAGTGAGCTGCCAGAAGCTGTTAAAGCAACGGTTGCCCTGTTTTTAGCCAATCTCGAGCAAGGAAAGATCAGCGGCAAAATCTGCGTGAAGCACATGGAAGATTACAACCATTCAGCCATGGCACATCTGGATGCTGAGAAGACAGCGAAAACTCTGGTGGAACAGGCAGCTGCCATTGCGGCTCAAGCAAAAGAATTGGGGGCAAAACAAGCAACACTGGAAGCAAACTTGAAGGAAGCGCGAGAACAGTGCCAAGAAGCTGACCTGTTGTACCAAAAGATGGCCGAGCAATGTGCAGAGGCTATCAGCATGCGGGATGATCATGCACAGGATACAAAGGTAAAATCTGTGCATTATGAAAATGCTCAGCGCATTATCGCGGAAGCGACCAAGATGTGAAACTTCCTAAAGGGCGCTTTGAAAGATGTCTGTATGCCAGCTGAAACTTTGTCGCCCAATGCGACTGAAGAAACAGAGAAAGGGGATGATCTCTCTGAAGTGCAATCAGGTTATGGAGTTGTGACTGGTGAATCAAGTGGTACTGGTGGAGGGAATCCAGATCAACAGCAACCCTAGGTCATGCCACATGTGTGTTGTTCCAAAAGATGGCGACTTGTGCCAAATTCTTCTCTTGTTTTGGTTTTTCTTCTGAATTATTCTATTGTGTTTTGCTTGTTGATACTTGTGAAGTCCTTAGGTTGAGACTTATCATAAATAACGTTTTGCTGCAATTTCTTTGGCTTGTTCTTGATGTTGTGGGTCCAACTACTCCAACCGAGATAAGTAGTATTTCTTTAAATATGTTGCATTGATAGAACTTTCACTGATCTTGGCATCCAAAGTAGCCAAAGTATATACGTTGTGGCCTAGGTGGCGATGAATCACAAAGGGTCCTTCCCAAGTCAGTGTCCACTTGCAATGTTTAGGATCACGTTGGCCAATAAGCAAAATGGCCTTCCAAAACCTTCTCACCGACCTGAAAGTTACGTTGTCGGACGTTCTTGTTGTATTGTTTAATAACAAGACTCTTCTCATACTCAATCTGTCTGGCCGTATTAATCCGGATTTCCTATCTGGTCTTGTTGAATTTGCATGCTTAGATTATATTCGACAGAATCAATCGGAGGTTGACTTGTAATACCGAGAGATGGAATTAAGTGTTCAATTGGGACTACTGCATCATGACCATAAACTAACTCATAAATCGGATAACTGCTTTTTGGTCAACGTCTTTTAGTGCAACTGCTTCCACCCACTTTTTAAAATAATCTATGGAGACCACAATATAACGGTGTCCGCTAGAAGAAGATGGATGTATCATGCCAATGACATCCAATGCCCAGCATTGAAAAGGCCATAGTTTCACAATAACTTGCATGGGTACAGCTGGAACATGTGGTATATCTCCATAACGCTGGCAATCAGCACAGCCACGGGCAAAAGAAATACAATTTTGTATCATAGATGGCTAGAAATACCCGTGTCGACGGATCAACCAAGCCATTTTTTGTCCACCTTGATGGGCGCCACAAGCACCTCATGTGTTTCTAACATAATGACAGTTGACTCTGGACGATTGAGGCATTTGAGTAAAATTTCATCAGTGGTCTTACGGTAAAGAGCTCCATCCAGCACAATATACTGGGTAGCCCGGCGTCGGGTCTGGATATCAGTCGGCACATCTGGATTAAGAAGGAACTGGATACTAGGATGTCTCCAATCGCCGACATCAACTTGTGGCTGGACTGTGTTAGTAGGGACTAATGCTTGCTCATGATAAGCGGGGAAATGAAATTTAACAGTGTCATACCACCAAGAGGGATCCACGGCAGGAATATAATCAGAAGCAAATTGTACCATGGCATTGGTAAATGTGATGGTACCAAAGTGAGACTTGAGTTCATCGCCAAGAGCTGTATATTGTGTTAGAATATCATCTTTCCGCTTCATAATATTCTTGATGTGTCCAACCACAAGAGGGGAATCGCCAATAACCACTACATGTCGTGCTCCATTGTGAATCAAAGTGCGGAGACCATAAATCAGACCTTCATACTCTGCCTGATTATTAGTGACATTGAAATTCAATCGGACACGTATGTGCAACACTTTTCCTAGGGGGGAATAGATAACCACTCCTGCTCCGCACCGGTGAAAGGTGGCAGAACCATCTAAGTATAACCTCCAAGGCACAATGGGTGTGATATCCACGTGAAAGGCTGCAACTTCAATCCCAGACTAGTTATCGTCTACTGAAGGGTGTATTGCTAGAAAGTATGCTAAATCTTGTCCCTTAACAGCTAGATGCGGAACATGTTGAAACTGAAATTCCATGAGTCCCAATATCCACTTGCCAATCCTACCACTCATGTTAGGACGGTTGAGCATATATCGAACTAATTTGATCTTATTGATAACACGAACCAAGGTAAGCAGCATATAATGGCGGAGCTTGGTAGCAGCAAAATAGAGAGCTAAGCATAACTTTTCTATGGCCGGGTACTTCTGTTCAGTGACTATCAACATTCGGCTAAGATAGTAAACGGCTCTCTCGAAACCATCTAGACCATCTTGTGCCAGGAAACATCCCAAGAAATCATCTGTGGCAGAGATATATAATTTCAAAGGATGGCCAGAAATTGGTGCGACCATAACTGGTGTGCGACTTAGAGCAGCTTTGATATCATCAAAAGCTTGTTGGTGTTCAGATTCCCAAACAAAATCTTGGCAGCTTGCAGACGATAAATTTGCCACAAACCGGCGTAAAAAGTTAATCTTGCCGATTAAACTCTGAAGTTCCTTCTTGTTGTGCGGCGGTCTTGCTTCTAGGATGGCTTTAGCCTTTTCACTATCAACTTCTATCCCTCTAGAATGGACTAAGAAACCGAGAAAAACTCCGGATGTCACGCCAAAAGTAGACTTGAGGGGATTGAGCTTCAACTTGTAGCGGCGCATCCATTCAAAGCAGATGGTCAAATGTCGAAGGTTATCAACAAAAGAATGTGATTTCATGACCACATCATCAATGTAAAATTCTAATAAGTCCCCGATTAAATCATAGAAGATACAATTCATGGCTCTCTGATAAGTTGCTCCAGCATTCTTGAGACCAAATGGCATAACTTTCCATTGAAATATCCCTAAAGCAACTAGAGCACATAACGCAGGTTTAGGAACATCTTCATGGGTGATGCATATCTAGTGGTAACCCGCATTACCATCGACAAAGCTAAATATTTCATATCCAACAAGCCTATCAATGAGGGTTTTGGCAACGAGCATCTGATATTCATCTTTCGGAGATGACAAGTTTAGGTTACGAAAATCGGTGCATACTTTTGTTTTACCGTTTTTCTTGATGACCGGCACAACATTGGAGAGCCATTCAACATACATTGCAACATCTATAAAATCAACGGCCAGTAAACATTGTATTTCTTCTTTAACCTTACTAACTACATCTTCTGAGAAACGTCATGGAGGCTGCTTGAAAGGTTTGAATCCAAGTCGAAGTGGAATTGTGTGTTACACTAACTTGCGGTCCAAACTAGGCATCTCTTTGTAATCCCAAACAAAACAGTCACGAAAGAACTTGATCAACATGGTAAGTTGCTGCTTTTCAATATGGGACAATGTAGCACTGACATAGGTAGATTTGGGAACTATGCCATCACCTAAATCGACGGTAATCAAAAGATCCTTAGTGGCGACAGAGCCATCCTCTAATTTGTCTACTACAATAGCTAACTCGTTGAGCTCAATAGCATCACTATCTGTTTCTAGATCTGCATCATAAATCATATCTTCCCAATTGACCTCTGGGTGTTCGGCTTTAAACTTGCGTTCATCAGCAAAAAACTTCAAAACTCGTTCAATAGCATCCCGTTTCTTAACAGCTTGTGCTAACTCAATGTCAAGAGAAGCATCATCCATAACTGATAATTGTTCAATTGTCTTCATCAAGAATTTCTTCAATGATAATAGCTGGAGTCAATGGCGGAAGCATCTTGTAATTTTGCAGCCTGTTGACTTCTTGCCACAACATCTTCCATTCAGGAAGAGTAGAATCGCGGCACATAGTGGCCTGCATTGGCCTATCGTACTTGTCAATTCCTAGCATGCAATAAGCACCAACTTCTTTATCATAATAATAAGCTTCAACTGAATTCGTTTGAGTAGTGAATGGTGTTGTGTCAGCATTGATGGTTTCTAGACCATTCGTTCCCCAAACAATAATAGCTTGATGTAATGAAGAGGGCATGCAACCGGCCGAATGAATCCCATCGCGGTCTAATAATATATTGTAGGATGCTTTCGTACCTACCACAAGAAAGCAGAAACAATGGATTATGTCCCAACAGTAACTTCCAGTGGCAGAATTCCTCAGGTGCTAGTAACGTCATCGGTAAAACCACTAACAAATATCTCTGTCGGGGCCAAATCTTGCATGTGCTTGCCTAACTTACACATCGCGGAGAATGGCAAAATGTTAATGGCTGCACCATTGTCGACTAAGACCCACAAGGGAACACCATCCGTGGTAGCACAAATGAATAGAGGACGAATATGAGTAGCAGCCGTATCATTCGGCTGTGTAAGCATGACAATGGATGACTGTCCAGGCCTTTCTATTATCTGAATTCAGTTCTTCCTAGTTTCTTCTCGAATCACTGAAGGTGTAGAAGCATCAGCATCAAAGGTATCGATCATTTCAATATCTGTGTTGGAAATCGGTGGTTCGACAACAGTCGTATTGGACGTTGTACGAAATGTCCGTGTTAATACATAAACCATATTGACTTAAGGATTATGATCGGCTACTTTTCGCCAGTACTGCCACTTGGAGGAAAAATTTCTTGGCTTGTGTGGTGGACTTAACGACATCTGTGATTGGCGGCTCAATTGTATATCCTTGTAGTACCCAGCCCTCAATCGTTGTCAACACCGTTTCTGAGTACGGGTAAGACCTGATGTGGCCAGAGAACAGCTGGGAATTTTTTATGTGGGTTATGGTGCCAACGATTGTCACTAACCGCCATTGGTTTGACCATTCTGGGTTTTTGCACAGGAATCAGTGTTCTTGGATTAGACAATTGATCACATACTGAAGTTCCTGTAGAATAAGATGATTTCTTTGACGCAGGTATGGTTTCTCGCGCAATTACTAGTGCATGCTGAATTCCTGAAGGTACCGCAGGCACATGCCCATGGAGAGAAGTGGCGACACCAGATGGTTAGAATCCTGTTGGAATAATCAGCTGAGATTGTAGAACTAGTGATGGTATATGAGGATGATGGAATGTCATTTGTTGAATATGATTCTGTAAAATCTCGCCTGGTGCTGGTTTACAAACCCATGTCTGCAGATGTCCATCTACCATAATAGTGACTTCCTGCCGAGGTATTGGTTGATGGTAATGCCCTCCAAATCGCTGCTCCAACTCCATCAATTGATGCTTGAATCCACTGAGAACTGCATCACAATGCATACAAACTATAGTATTACACGCCACAGGTATGTGACTATTCAAGCCTACATTGATCATACGAACTGGATGCTCTGTAGGAAATGGGTTAATATTCATATCAACAGGATCATCTACTTTGATTTTTCCTTCATCAATCATCTTCTGCAAGTAATTGCAGAAAACCACACAATCATTTGTACAGTGTGTCCATGAAATATGATACTTGCAATATGTTTTCCCTGCAATTTCAGATGGTTCCAGTGGCCAATAGCCTTTCTTATATCGTACATGGCCTGTCTTCATCATGTCATCAAAAATTGCCTCCTGTTGGGTGATGTCGAAAGAGTAAACTTTTGCGGATGCAACTGTGTCAGAAGTTTTAACAGTTCCAGAGGAAGATATTCCTTGAGAATACACATGTGATACAACTAGCATGCGTAGCGCTTCACATGTGTATTCTTTTAAATCGATAATCTCTACAGCATTAACACTATCCCAAGGCCTATCTTCATCATCGGAGGAACTCCAAGAAACATTATTTATTTCTACAACAGGTTCTTTGTTAAACCAGGATTTTGGTTTCATTGGCTTAGACTCTCTCTTAGCTCGGATGACCTTTTCTGTGTTATGAACAACTTCCATAAGCTGTGTCAGAGACCGGATTGGATGTGGTGTTACTGCCAATTTCAATTTGAAATCTTCAATTCCTAATATTACCATCTTAACTATGGTGGACTCCTCATATTTGCCAGGAGTAGCCCCCGAAATCTTTGCATGCATCTATCGGAACCTAGCAAGATATGCTTTAGCTGTTTCTCTCGGTTTCTGCTGGACTTGTGACAAATCAGCTATTGACAATCTTGATGTAGTACGGTGGAAGGTATGAATAAATACTCGCTTTTGAGTGCTCCAATCAGCAATAGATCCTGGTTCCAAGGTACGATACCAATCTAATGCTATTTTGACCAACGAATAAGGAAATAACCACAACTTCAAGAAAGGATTATGTCCTGCTTCACCACATTCCAAGTCAAAGCGGCCAATGTGATCTTCAGGCCGTTGGTCATCTTCGGAAGTAAACTTCTTGAAATTTGGCGTCTTCTAATTCCTTGGCAAAGGTTCAAATTCAACATACTCAGGGTAAGGCTTACCCATCACCTCTGGCACCACTATTCCTAGTTCCTTACGTACCATATCTTCCACCATTGTTTTGAAACCAGCCTCTGCAGTAAACGCAGGTGCAGTTTATTCATCTCGAGCAAAACCATTCTATCGGAACTCTCTCTCTCAAGTTCTTGATAAAGCTGTGCTTCTGGTTGATTTTCTCTTTGTGGATTTCTAACATCCCTTCTCCAAGTATTGTTCCTTGCCCTAGTCCGATTCTACGCCTGATTTACTTCTTACTCAATCCATTGTTGTTCTTCCAATAGTTATTCCACTATAGGAACATGTCTTGGCAAAATTCGTGGTACGGTTTCCTGTTGTCCACCTTGCTCCAGAATCACAATTCTTGCTCCTTGCTGCGGTGTTCTTTGTGGAGTCGGCATGTTGTTAGTCATGTTTCCTTGTTGATTTCCATATACTTAAAATCTTTGGTCGTTGTTTGGGAGAGGATTAGCTGTAGGCGGCCTATTGGCTACTACCCAAACCGGTCGAACATTAACTGGATTTGGTATAGGTTGAGTTAGCACACGTTTAATATTCTGAAACTGACCGTTCTGCCCACCTATGGGATTCGGAGGAATTACTGGCCTTGGTGGTACTATTCCTCTTAGAGGAATAAAACTACCTGTCGGTGGATAACCAGGAGCTCTTGGTGGCCATCTCATGGCTGGAATAACTGGCGTCGATCTATAATTAGATGCTGGTCCTTGACAACTTCCATGATATGGTAATGGGTGGCCATCCAAGGTGAAATTTCCAACTGGTGGGAAGAAAGCCAGTTAACTTGGTTCAGCGCAATAATACCAACTAGGGTTTGGTATTGGTGTACTTTCTGGAACAACTCCTACTTGGCTTACTCCATTGATTGACAACCCCTGCACCGGTGTTGACGAATTAGAGAACAAAGGGTTATCATGGGTAACTGCGGTAGATGGATCCAGTAGTGGTACTCTCAATGACGCATCGGGGGTTATCGGTGGAGTTTCAGGTGCTGCCCTTCCATTAGGGTTAACTTTTTGGAGAGATTGCTCTAATGCAGTGATACGGGCTAGCATACTTGTGATAGTATTATTCTGCTGGCCTATAATGATTTGCTCAAGACTTTGGTTATACGCTGATTCTTTAGTGCGACCCCGTTGGTCTAACCCTAATTGAGCATTGAGCCATGTTATTTCGTGCTCCATAGTTTGTTCAGCACCTTGACTGTGTTGAATTTAAGAATGATAAGAACTTCTCAACTCATGTTCCAAATTCCGATTCACCGGCAGAGTAGGTACTCCTAACGATGGTAACAGAAGAGTTGATGCCACTCCTATTTCTCCCGTTGATTTCACCGCTTCAGTTGTTGATGGGCTAGAGGAAGTAACTCCTGTCGGAACAGAAGTTGTTGTTGTCGTTGTTGACATAACTTTAAACCTAGTCGAGACACAAAAATCAGTCCCACTGGGCATGCCAATTATGTTTGTGCGAAAATAATCAGTAGAAACTGACGCACGCTTGCAAACAATCTTAGACGAAGGTGTGTAATTCATGAGATGCAATATTCGGCTAAGTGTGAAGAAAAAAGGGGATAAAACTTATAATAACTTGAATGAAACTGAATTCGTTGATAAATTGATGAACTTAAACGAAATACAATGAGTAAATCAAATAAAAAGACTTGTGAAAAGTACCTGAAAAGGAATAATAGGATATTAAAAGAAAGATAAGAGCTTTGCAGCTTATGTTTTGTCTGTGTTGAAGATGAGTTTGTCCTGTGTTGCTCTATTCTTTCTCTTTATAAAGGGCTCGGTAATCGTTGAGGCGGTGCGATCTCCGATTCCTACTTGCATTCGGTATTGCCGATCTAGAATTACAATTGGCTTTTATTTCCGATTTCTTGTTTCTTGCCACAATTGTAATTCTTCTTGGACTTGCATTTGACTTTTCTCTTGCGCCAGGGTGGGTTTTCGACGCGTCTCTTTCTCCGATTCAGACATGGATTCTCCTTTTCCTGCATCAGATGTGTGTTTCTTTTGTAATTGGGCTGATTCACCACGTTTGTTGGGCTTACTTGATTTTAATAAAAATCAGTGGAAACAATTCCATGGAGCAAAAAATTCAGAATTGTGTAGGTAATGGCTTCAACCTATCTGAGGTAATAATTAATCTTTGATCTTGTACTTCTGATTTGTTTATAAACTAAAAATCTCCATCCATGTTCTGTGAGTTTTTGAGGATTAGGAACTGGAAAACTCAGATTTTACACATGTTCATTTGGGAGTCATGCGGTCTACAACTACGGAAGGGTTTCCTCCAGATTCCTTTTGATAGTGATAAACTAAAATCGAGGACGAGTTTTCTCTCAGCCCCGGAGAATGATGGAGGCTAGGGTGAGGCGGCGGCTGGAATAATAAGATTAGGGATTAAGGTTATTTATGTAACTTTTAAAAGTTTCACTAGGGTTTTACTTTTTCATTTTCAAAATGGCTTGGCCCCTCATTGTAAATGATGGTTGATATTTTGATAAATTGAAAAAGAGAGTTTTTCTCAAAAATTCCAAGGGGTGTTGAACTTTGGTCCTTATGATCCAGGTATTCCTAGACTAAATGGATTCTTGAGATGATTTTAAGTCGAAGCATTCTTAGACTAAAAGGTATTAAAAGGGTTAGGGTCACTTTTGGATTGAATTAGAGGCTTCTGCTACGTCATACGGTCTGCTGCATTTGATGCATTTTCTTCATCCTGAAATGAAGCAGTTCCCCGTGCTAAGCTGGTACTTATCGGACCCTGGTTTGATAGTGACTTAGATGCATTTGTTGCAGATTGATACTGTGTACTTGCAGAATGATTCAGGTTGCAATTAGATCCTAAACCCTGATTTCTTGATCCATGCTACCGAGTGAATTACCTGCATTGGCGTCATTTTCTTTACTATGAATTTGTGAACCCTGAATCTGGCTTGAACTAGCTACAGGGTGTCCAAGTGTCGTAGCCTCAATCACTTTGGACTGATGTGTTGGCATCTTTAACTGAACCTGGTTATGAACCTACTTTTCGGCTGCAACTTTTTCAACCTGGATATCTGCTGCAACTTCATTTTTCTTATTTTCTGCAGCAACTTTATCAACCTAGTTTTCCGATCGGATTTGTTCAACAGGCTGTGAACTGGAGTCATGACTTCGGCTCTGTTCAGAGTTTTGAGTTCTACTTAAGTGACGTAACGAATTTCTTGTTTTCAAAACCTTTCGACTCTTACTTGCATCAGGAACAAGAATGGGAGAGGTCTGATTTGTAGCTACAGGGTTCAGATTGGTAGTTTTGTAGGGTTTAGATTGGAAGTTGCTGCAGTTTGGACATCTGGTAGTTGTTGTAGGGTTTAGATTGGAAGTTGCTGCAGTTTGGACATCCTCAGTACCACGAGGAACAATATTTGAAAACAGAAGCGACTTTCTGGTTCTCGGACGCTGCATAGGACTGAGAGTTACAGCTGCTTTGCCCTTGGTTGGAGACTAACTTTTGAGTTTGGACTTGCTGCAGTACCATCTCCCACCTGACCTCTCACCATATCTGCAAGATTCGATGTCCAATCAATTAGTTATGGTGGTAAAATGATCAATTTAAATAACAAATAAAAGAGAACCACGTTATACAAAAAGAGATACAAAGTACACTGCATATATATTAGAATCACAACTCACAGCAGTTAAGGAGCTGCGAAAACAGGATCACAAAGCAGCAAAAAAACAGAATTTTATCCCTGTCGACAGTCAATTATCATCTTCATTATTTCCAACCTCTATTGAAATTTCAATATCCTGCACATCTTCTAAATCAACAAGAAGCCCACTTGTATCATTTAAAGGTTCTGAATCAGGATCAATGGCATCAAATGCATGATTCTCAACTTCATCATCTTGGAAAGGCGCGTCTGCTGCAGGGGCATCAAAATCAAATCTAAACTTGACTTTAAATACAGCTCACCAATCAGCTTTGTCTCTCTTCATGCTTGGATAGGGCGTCTAGTAAACTTGCAATGCTTGAGAAGCCAATACAAAAGGTTCATACTTGCGTAACCTTCTTCTATTGTTTATATCAACGAGTTTGTAGTCTCTATGAACCTTTATCCCCACATTTGGGGTTGTATCATACCAATGGCAATTAAACAAAACAACGCTCTTGATAGGAAGCGCGGGATACTCTAACTCTAGAATTTTCTAAAAAGTTCTGTAATAATCACTTGATTCATCACTATAATTATACTCTTTTATGCACACTCCACTATTGAATGTTGATCTCATCTCCCCATACTCAAATGTGTGGAATTTATACCCATTAATAAAATAAACGGGAAAAGTCTTCACATTTTTTAAAGGGCCAAGGGCAACATCTTTGATGAGTTTACTCGTGATGTTGTTCCTTGGACCATGTGACTATATTAAAAATCAAAAGTCAATATTGTAATAAGCATATTAATGATTACTTAGGTACATTTGAAACACTTATATATGTACGAAACCAATTTGCGAATTCTTTCTAAAGCTTAATATCAAGTAACCCATCTGATATGTTGGGTTTCTTGACACGAAGCTCCTTAATGAATACCCTTCATGATGCGACGTTTAAAATATGTCATA